GTGACTGGTACTCACATATTTGAGCAGCACATCCACATTGTAAAGATAAATAGCTCAGGGAGGTGAAGGGACTTGCCCCAAACCAGCCACGCATCTGGTTGGAACCTGGCTGCCTCCCGCTGTCTGCTGGACCCACAGCGGCTAGGTCTGCAGGGCTCATCTCAAGGTCGGTCAGTTCTATCTACATCATGGCCACAGTGGCAGCTACATGTGTTGAGCACCTGTGAGGACAGGACGGTGTCCCATTCTACAGATAAGGACGTCATAGGTGCTCAAGATTCCGGAGCTAGAATGAGGGGGAGGCTGAGCTGTAGGCGTCATAAGCTGTAAGGAGGTGGAATATGAGACACTACCCTGATCCCAGGCTGGGAACAGTCTGCCTGCTGTTACTGTTTTGGGAATTGCAATTTGAAGATTTGAAACCCACTCTGGGTATGAATTTTAGTTCTGCAGCTGTGATTTGGGGCATATTACTCTGATTTCTGAGCCTCAATGCTTATTTGTAAAATGGCCATTTTAAAAAGTCGACCTTGGCCTGCCTGGGTGGCGTAGTTAGTTGTGGGTTCAATTCCAAGTCAGGGCACATACCCAGGTTGTGGGTTTGATCCCTGATAGAGGTATGTGCGGAAGGCAGCTGATCAATGCTTCTCTCACACATCCATGTTCCCCCTCTCTTTATAATCAATAAAAAGCATATAATCAGATGAGGATTAAAAAATAATAAAAACGGAAGTCCACCTTGCCAGCCTGTCTCCAACCTCCAAATATATGTCTTCCTCCTTAGAATTACAAGTGGTTCTTGGCCCCTCAAGCAACAGGGAGCCCGAGCACCAACACCATGCATCGTGGAGGGGGTGGGACAGGAACAGGACAGAGCGGCCTTGGCTGTAAGAAGGCAGCCCTTCCAGATCTCACCGAGGAAGAAGACACCTGGGCTCCACACTCGAGGCAACAGAGCGAAAAGCATGACAAGATAGTGGAGCTGGAAGAGGGGAGGGGGACTTGCAGGGGCACTGCCACAGGTGGTGCACCCTATGGTATCACCCCTTAATGCAGCGGTTCTCAACCTGTGGGTCGTGAACAATGAAATACATCCTGCATATCAGATATTTACGATTCATAACAGTAGCAAAATTAGTTATGAAGTAGCAATGAAAATAATTTTATGGTTGGGGGTCACAACATGAACTGTATTAAAGGGGTCGCGACATCAGGAAGGTTGAGAACCACTGCCTTAGTGGAAGCCTGTGGGGGGTTGGACAGCCCTTAGCAGGGGACCCGGGGACACCAATGCTGAGTGAATCAGTAACAGCAGCGCAGGAGCCCTGCAAGTGGCTGCACTCGCATATAAACTTGTTTTTTAATCGTGAAGTTCACATGGCCACAGACAGAAATTGGGCAAAAGGAGAAAACCTCCAGAATCTTACCAAGACCCAACTCTTCTAGTGTTGGTGTTTCTGTGTTTTTTGTGGTTGCCATCAACTGTTCCGTATGGGAACACTTTCCATGAGCAGGTCCCTATCTTTCTACCAGTTGTACGGCACTTTACTGTTCAAACTGCTTTTGGTCTGATGTTGTCTTTTCTCGGTAAACTGTGAGGTAAGCAGGAATTACTTCCACCTGGCAGATGAGGAAACTGAGACACAGAGTGGTTAGGTGACTTGGCCAAGGGTGCTTGGCTAGTGATGCAGGGGTGCCAGGGATAACCCTCAAACTCCTAGGCCAGCGGTTCTCAACCTGTGGGTCGCGACCCCTTTGGTGGTCGAAGGACCCTTTCACAGGGGTCGCCTAAGACCATCCTGCATATCAGATATTTACATTACGATTCATAACAGTAGCAACATTACAGTTATGAAGTAGCAATGAAAATAATTTTATGGTTGGGTCACAACATGAGGAACTGTATTTAAAGGGCCAGAGGTTGAGAACCACTGTCCTAGGCCAATGTGCAAACAGAGGAGACACAGAGGGGAGGAGCACAGAAAAGACAGCCCCACAATTCTCATCTCAAAATATTTAATTTTGTTTTGAAAAGGTTACATTCCCGGCTTCCCTCCCTGCCACATCACTCCGGCCCACCAGCAGTGACACACTCGCACGCACATACGCACATAAGGCCAATGGGCTGTCGTCTGCTTCTGCCGTTGCTAGCTGGGAAGAAGGAATTTTCTCCTTGCCTCCTTCCCCCAACACAGGTAAGAAAAAGGGGCTCGCTGGAATCCCAGCTCCCAAGGGAGGACGCAGAGCCCCACACACTCTGTCACATCACATGCACTTAGAAAAATAAAACCAAGTGGTGATCTGGCATCCCCAACACCACAAAATAGCAACATCCACCTGGAAGTCATCTTTTTACTTT